TATCCCGTGCCAAATTGCTCAGGATCTTTACCTCTCATTTTTTTCTTCCACATCAATAACTACCTCTTCTCATCTTTAAAGTGCTTCTCGACCATTAAATAATCTCAGATTGCACACTCTGTTCTTTGCATTTATCTTGACCAGCTGTCAGAGAAGACAATTTATTCTCCACAATTTTATTTTGTTTGGCTATGTGTGGCTTCCGCCCTGAGTGGGAATGGGAAATGGGGAATGCATCTTAGGGTGTTCACAATAGAGGCAACTAAAGTTTCCTTTAAGCAAAAGAACCCTCGGATTATTTTCAAATTGTTTATTGTTTTGCCGTCAGATGCTCAGAATGTATTTTCATCACTTTTGTTTTTGAGCCTTGATTAATTTTACGTGGGAATTTTGAAGAGGAGGGTACAAAAAACAACAATAAAAAAAATCCAGAATTTATCATTTTCATCTTAAAAATTGAATTGTCCTAGCAGAATCACAAAATGAATTAAAATGTGGAATTTGTATGAGGTTAATTTTGGAAAAAAATAAGAGTTATATTTAACTCTGAGTTTATATTGCTTACTGAAGTTGTAGTTTCCCATTTTTTCTGACCAAAGAAACAAGTATAGAAATTCCTCTTTCTTCTAAAATTTTCTGCATTTTAAAAATTTGACCATGGTTCATATAACTTACATTAAATCTCAATAAACTTTTACTTTCAGTTTCAAGATACCAAGCAGGTATGTGTGACACTATCTAACCCCTGTGCACAACACTTTGAAGTGAATTTGAAGTACAGAAATGATTCTTAGAGTTCTTTCCTTAGTGTAGTAGAAAACCTTCAAGAGGTCAAAAGGCCAGAGATTAGCAACATATCAGCTTTCAGGTAGGCCACTCCGAAACACTCATAATTCATTTACTCTCCTGCTAGCCATTATTCTGGGGTTTGATTCACTTGTAGGCCCACTTGGGCCTTAAATCTCATTTCAAAGCACTTCTGCCACTCCCTCACTTCCAGCACTACCGTTAGAAGTGATGGGAAAGGCATGAAAATCAATGAGAGCGTATGATGTGTGTTCTTTCTAATTTTTCTTCCTATAAACCACACCTCAAGTACAGTTTATAAAATTTCTCTTAAAGGTGTCTTTCCATCTTGCTACTGTTTCTACTAAATTGAGTTTGTGAGCTCAGAATGCTTATTCCCATAGTTTTTTCAAAAGAGAAAGGAGATTTGTTGTTAACACTGTTAATTTCTACCTCAAGTTATTTAAAAATCTTAATTAAATCTTTTCCCAGGTCTGTACTTCAGGAACTTTTTAATCTCTTGAAAATATGGACTTAGATTCCAAACTACTACCTAAGAAATACTTGTATTCTTTATTTTTGGTTACTATTACCTGCTAATATGTACTCTTGAATGGATTAGACTTTCTTTTTGAGAGGTGCTGATAAAATTTTACATTATTTGTCTTATTCCTTTAAGTAAAAGCATAGTAAGAAATGAAGTTTATGGCAAAAGAAATGAATAGAGTGAGAATTTATTAACTAAAATACTCAATTTTGTACATAGTGATTTCATTTTTTTCCTTTAATATATAAAAATTGTCTTATGAACTGGATTTATACTTAAGCATGCTATGTAATGTCTGTTTCAAGGGCTCAAAGTTTGTTTTTCTAGTTTAAAGAATTGACTTACACTTATCATAATTATGCTGTAATGAAATAACTTCATTTGCTATAGATCATCTCTCTTAATTTTGCCTGTGGGGCAAAACAGCCTCTAATTATATGAATAAATTACAGCGTGTAATACTCTTTCCTTATATTACAAGGAATTAATTAATTGATTGGAAAGAATGCTGATGGGGTCTTACAATCTTTATTGTTTCCCTAAGCACATCTTAACCTAATGTATGTGCTTATTAAATGAAAACAAATGCCTGTGTTTACCGGAGTCAAGCCTTCAACTTTGGTTTCCGAGGTTAATCATGCTTTCTAGGCTATCCCAGTAAAGATACTAATAGAGCAGAGTTATAATCGTAGAAGCATTGGAGTGCTTGCAGCGGTAATGACGATGACGATAATGATGATGATGTCGTTTACGAGTTCTTGTATTGCCATTTATTAAATAATTACCACGTACCAGGAAATGTGCAAAGAGTTTACATGAGTTTTCTTTCCACAACACAAACCAGTAAATTGAAGCCAATTTCCTTCACCACGCATAGTTGCTTGTTGTTCTTGGGAGAAGTGTAGGAGTGACGCTCCAGCCATTCAGGTAGTACAAGGATGAGCCAGAAGTTGGTCCTAGTCTCTTCTCCATAAAAGTTTAACTCGGCCATGCACGGTGGCACAAGTTTGTAATCCCAGCACTTTGAAAGACTGAACAGGAGGACCACCAATTCGAGTCCAGCCTGGCCAACTTAGCTATGTAATAAGACCCTCTTTGAACAATACAAATAAATAATTTTTTTCTATTTGTATTGAAACTTTTATTTAACTTGTATTTAAATTTGTATTTTTGCATTTAAACAATACAAACAAAACATAAATGTATCTCGTTATAAAGGCCCTGGGTTCAATGCCCAGTGAGCCCTCAGCACCAGAAAAAGTGGTTGCAATTTTTTGGGTTTTACCGCTTCCACAAAAAAGCTACACATAATTGAAAGTCAGAGTGTAGGGACGGAGCAAGAGCCGGCAAATGGAAAGGAGCGCTTTGATGCCACTTGTGGGTCTCGAAGGGTTGCAGAGAATTTCTTCCCTTCTCACGAGGCTAAATCTCCCAATTACGATGTCAACATTCTAAGAGAAACTATAGCTAAGCTTTCTGTTAAGTGGAATTTGCTTTACAAAAATGTTAAAGGAAGTTAGAAAGTTTAGATTTGCTTTTGTATCCAGCACATAGAAACATTGTAATTTAGGGAAAAATAGTCAAATTGAAAAATGTAATAATATTGAATAGAGTATTTTCCTTTATGAATGGTAATTATTAAATTATCTTGGGCAATGTGATCTGTATTTAATATATAAAATTATAATCTTGTTACAATCTTGTGCTTCTTGCACAAAAAGCTTGGACTGGTGATTTTATTCTCTTTAGTACTCAATTATTTTCTTCATAAGTGGGTAATTTGGGATTGAGAGTGCTATGAAAGTCTGGCTGGCCTTCAATTGATCCTAAATATAACATAAAATATTTGTTTCTAAGGATCTCAAAATTATCCCTAGATGCAACTTTCTATGAGTGAAGGGAAGTGAATATAATCAGACTATCTCTACTGTCATTAAAGAGGTTTTCCAGACATGCAATGGCAGCAACTTTATCAGAGAAAATTGGAGTTACCAAATTGTCTAGTGTCATGCTGTATACATAGATACCATTAAAGGGAAAGATAAACAATGAAAGAAAAAACAGAGCATAAAGATTAAAGTGTGATCTTTTGTGTTTTTATGTGTAAAAGATGCTTGTAGGAAAATGATGAAAAACTCCACAAGAATAGCAGTGTGGAGAAAGAAAAAATAAGCATATTAACAACTCATCTCTTATAATCCATAGATTGCAAATGGAGCTCAGTTTTATTTCTGTATGATTGTAAATGAGTCAGATACTACTAATAATATAGACAAGGCTATATTAGAGAGAAGCAGGACCACTGCCTTGTGTAGTTACAAGCATATGAACTTTCAAATGTGTGTGTGTGTATTTGATATTTCTATATTTAGCAGTTCTATGCTTAGAAATACCTCATAAAGGAACAATTATTAATGTGTACTGGGAAAACTTCTGCCATGTTCCAGTGGGGTGGGTAGTTTTTTGACTAAATTATGTGCGGCCTTGAAATGCCAATCCGTACAGGTACATAAGTGATACTTTTAAAAGATGCATACAGGCAGAAGAGCATGTTTGTGGCATACTGCCTAGAAAACCACATGAAGGACAGTGCAATAGTTACTTGTCAAGAGCAAATAAAAACACGATCATATATTTGTGAGTATGTACAGAAAATAACCCATTAACAGAAATCATTGCTGGATTGTGAGAGAATTATATTCATCTGTTTGTTTATGCATTTACTGTTCTCCCTGTGCTTTTGTATTTCCTCTTAAACTCATGAGTTTTGTGGAAACAGGAACAAGAAAGTTACTGGTTATTATAACATTCCTTTCAACATTATTTTTTCTGTGCCTGAGCACCCCTCCCCCAAAGATATTTGATGACATCGATAAAAGTACCATCTGTAAAGTTAAACCAGGATCTCTTTGTCCTGGGAATTGAATTTATGACCTCAGGCTTGCAAGGGAAGCACTTATGCCACTGAGCTATCTCCCCAGCCCCATAAACCAGTCTCTCAAGAAGCAACCTCACCCACTTGCACTACTTCATCACTGACTCTGTGTGTATGTGTATATGTATGAGTGTGTGTGTGTGTGTGTGTGTGTGTGTGCATGCGCACATGTGTGTTTTGCTGGGAATGGAACCCAGAGCCCTGTGCATGCTGGGCAAACTCTCTACCACTGAGCTACACTCCTACTCCTCATCGAGGACTTGGTCCCTCAGTTGAGATGCTTTTGCTTTTTTTAATGATTGGCATGAACGTCCATAACGGCACAGGGTATGAAAAGACATTTTGGAAAGAAAGAAAGAGTGAAAGAAAGAAAGAAAGAAAGAAAGAAAGAAAGAAAGAAAGAAAGAAAGAAAGAAAGAAAGTCCTGATACCGCTTGTCTTCTGCTAGTGAGTACAGAGAGCCACAGTGGAACAGTGGAAACAGAAATTGGTGAGTGACAAGTGGCCCGTGGCCAGGTGCAGCCTGGGATTTAGGAGATGAGAGATGCCTGTGGCCAGTTCAGAGTGAATTTAAAGGCGTGGGAGAGAGAATGTAGCAGTCTGCTGGGAGACAGTTCTGCTCCCACGTAGCGTGTTCCCTGCAGAAAATGCTCGAGGTGGCTACAACACCCGGTAGTGTGTTTTCCGGTGTAGATTTCTCATTTGTATTTTCCTTTCTGAATGTTCGACTAGGAAATGCATCCACAACCACCACTGTGATAGACAGCAAAAATGGATCTGTGCCCAGGCCCCCCGGGAAAGTGCTGAAGAGGACAGTCACCGAGGACATAGTGACCACCTTCAGCTCCCCCGCGGCCTGGCTGCTGGTCATCGCCTTGATCGTCACGTGGTCAGCTGTTGCTGTCGTTATGTTTGACTTAGTGGATTACAAAAACTTCTCAGGTAAGAACCATGGAATTTAGCTTTTAAATCAAATGAACAGTGTTCTCCCCACTTGCAGCTCTTATTTTTTCCTCCTTACCGAAAAGTACTATAAGAGATAAAGCACCCACGGGTGTGCTTGAGGGGCACCGAGATCAGTTATCACCTCTTTCCGTCATTCTCTGATGGATTTGATTTCAACTGAGATCTATAACCATATTTTTAGAGCTGAACACAAGCGTCATGCTGCACTTTTATAAACGTAATGATTAAAAAGGCTAGATTGAGAATCAGCTTTGGAAGTGGTACCTACCAAGAATTAATAAAGAGTAATTTTAAATAAATTTTTAAATTTTTAAAAAATTTTAAATAATTTTAAATGAGCTGGGGATTTAGCTCACCGGCACAGAGCCTGCCTTGCAAGCTCAAGGTCATGAGTTTGATTCCTGGTACCGGAAAAAAACCCACAAAAAAAACAAAACAAAAAAAACCCACAAAGAATAATTTTAGATGTCATGCTTGGCTATGTACAAGCAGAGCAACCCAAACAAGAAGTCTTTCAGGAGAATAGAGAATATTTCAAAGTATTTCTAAGTCTCCTTGTGATCTGGTCCCAAGCTTTCTATACAGATATACTCTCTGCTCCCACCCACCAAACCATCCCATTTTAAGTTTCTGAAAACAAAGCATTAAAAGGACTTTCCCAGAACTACTTAAAATAGGTACTACATCTTGAGTATCCATATACCACTGGATTTGGAGTAACACTGGAATAAGGCAGGAAGGGTGGTTTTCATTATGATATTCTGAGTACCTTGTTCATCTTTTGTTCAGAGCTTTTGCACTTTTTACATTACACTTATCAATTTCAACCTCTGACCCTCACTGCTGGTGATTTCCTGGACAAAAGGAGTGAACTGGGTGCTCAGTATTTCACAAGTAAATGATTGAGTTTATCCTTCCTTTCCCTTTTCCCAGGGCAAGAAGTATCAGTAGGACCCAGACATGATCAGTTGCACTCTCTGTATTTAGGGACGTTCTGTTTTGTATTGATTTCTTCACTCAACCATTACTTATCAGGATATGTGTCAGGAAAGGGCTATGTCACAAAGACCAAAAGGAATACAATACCATACTGTAAAGGTACAGGACTCTCCAGTTTGGGTTCAGGACTTGGAGGTGTGGTAGTGGGAACTTGTCCTGCTCTGCCCTTGCTAGTTAAACTATACGAAAGAATGAGAAATCACAGGCTCCATGGCCTGTTGCCAAGCAGAGCAAGGGCCAATTTATCCAGCTGTAAATGTCCGCTCTAGAAAGACAGTACTTTTAGTGTATTGTAATATAGGCTCTTAAAAAGAATATACAGTTGAGATGTCTCTAATATAAGATGGTGACTTAGGGTTTTAAGTGAAAAAGAGTTACATTATTCTAGGAAATTCCATTTCCTTTGACCTATATGAACTTTACTATTTCACCTAACCTTTACTTTATTACGAATTCATTTAATTAAGTTTTAGAGCCAAATATGATCATAAAATATAGTGCTTTAGCTTTTGTAATAGATATGGTTTACCAGATATATGAATCTAATATTTGTAAAATTATTGTTATAAGTACATTATAGACATTACTTTTGAAAATAATTTATTCTTCATTAATGAAAGCACAGTTACCTACAACTATAGTTTCACATTATATTGCTTAAATATAATAGCTGTCTTCCATTAAGCCACTATGATTCAGTGCTATTGATAATAGTGTACCTATCCCACTGCCATTTTATTTAATAGAGAAAAAAATAGTCTCGGTGTTACTACTGTTTTGTTTTTCAGCATTTAGCAAGCACATGTTCAGTGTGAGGCCTCTTCCTCCCCATTTCCTGTGTTTCTCAGTGGCATAACTATCTATTCATGCCCTACAAGGAAAACCTGAAACGTTTCATAACTCTCCTCAGATCTGAGCAGTGACCAAAGTCCATGATATCTAGATTCATGCAGCTCATAAATATGATCACTTCTTTCCGCCCCACTCTCTTCCGTCACCACACTTCATGCATTCATTCTCTTCTGAGGGTATTAACTCAATTTCCTTTTAGCTTTTTCATCTGTTCCTGCCCCTTGATAATGCTGAAAAGAGATCTTCAAAAAGCACAGCTTGATCTAGTAGTACATTTCCAGTTGCCTAAGTGCACCACCCTGCTTGGAATGAAAGTGAATTCTGTGGCTTATCTCTTCATTTTCTTCCTGGTCAGCAGCTGCATCCCTCTCTGTCAGCCCTGTTGACTTCTGGTTTCTCTGTTGGCCCCAGCAAAATAAAAATTTCCATCCCACCATTTCCTCTATTGCATGCCCAGTACAGCAGACAGACTGATGGCAAACAGCTAAAAATATGAACTCTGGTGCTTCATATACCTAGTTTTCAATCCAGAACTCACCCTTGCCAGCTCTGTGATAGAGAGAAAGTTACTTACCCTCCTTTCTCTTCAGTTTTCTTATGTGGAGAGTGGACATTCTACTGATGCTTATAGAATAACACTGTCAACAGGAGTATACAAGGCAATATATATGTTTTTTCATTTTTTTAAAGAGAATAAAAAATAAAAAATTAGAAATGATACAGAACTTCACTAAACAAGATGATAGGAATTAAACAATGGTTGTTATACTGCATATTGTTGTCTTCAAATTAGTTGCTCAGATTATCAGATATAACCATGCAAAATTGGTCAAAAAAAATAAAATGGAGAAAAAATAAGCTTTAACTGTTACTTCCAATAGACTGATAGAAATTAGCAGGACTATTATCTCAGCTATCCTGTGTGTATAGATATATATTTTTCCCTGCCCTCTTTCTTTCTTTTCTCGTTTCCCCTCATCCCAATTGTTCCTTCCCTTTGAACAGTTTCTTTCCATTTCACAGTATGTGTTAGATCTTTCAGATTTTATTTACTCTTTCTGGTTCTTACACTAGGGAGACAATATGATGTTTACACATGAGGGTCTGATTTATTTCACTAATGAGTATTGTCTCTAGTTACATGCAATTACCTATAAAAGCCTCAAGTTTATCTTTTTTATATGTTTTATACAATGGATATATTTATCCACTGTATAAAAATACTACATCTTTTTATTCATTCCTCAATTGTTGGTAATTTGGGTTGTTTGCTAGATATAGCTATGACAAATTGTTCTGCTATAAAAATGAGTGCACACATTCCGCTGTGGTGTGATGATTTCAGTTCTTCAGCAAAAGTACCCAGAAGGGGAATAGCTGGATTCAATGAGACCTCTAATCCTAGTTTTTAAAGGAAACTCCACCTGATTTCCACAGTGGTTGTACCAGACTATACTCCCACCAACAGTGGAGAAGGATTCCTTTTTCCCCACAGCTCCTCCAGCATTTGTTATTGGTCGATTTCTTGATGATAGCCATTTTTTTAGGGTGAGATGGAATCTCATTGTTCTTTAAATAGGCATTTCAATGATGTTGAACATTTTTTCATATATTTATTTTCCATTTGTATTTCTTCATCTGAGCTGCATGTATTCATCTCAGATGCCCATTTTTTGATTGGGTCTTTGAATTTTGGGGGCCTGACCTTTTAAATTCTTTATATGCTCTCGATAGAAGTCCTTTGTCTGAGAGACAGTCAGCTAAATTTTTTTCCTAATTCATGTGTTTTCTTTCTACTCTGTTGGAGATTTCTTTTCATGTGCAAAAACTTTTCAATAAGATGAGATCCCAGTTGTTGATTCTTTGACATATTTCCTGTACAATTTAGTTTTTGTTCATGAACTCTCTGTTTATCCCTATGTTATCAAGATTTCTACGTACTTTCTCCTCTAGTAGATTTAGTGTTTCTGTTTTAATATTTAGATCTTTGATCCATTTTGACTTTAGTATAGGGCATGGTGATATACACGGGTCTAATTTTAGTCTTCGGTATGTGGAAAGCCAGTTTTTCCAGTACCATTTATTAAAGAGGCTATCTTTCTTCCCGTGAATATGTTTGGCCGCTTTGTTAAAGATAAAGAGGCTGAGTGTGTTTATAGTTGTATCTGCACCTTCTAGTCTGTTCCACTGAACCTCAGGTCTGTCTTTTTGCCAGTATCATGCTGATTTTATCACATTAGCTTTCTATTATAATTTCAAGTCAGGGGTTGTGACTCCTCCTGCTTTACCTTTGTTGTCCAGAATTGCTTTTGCTATTCTAGGCCTCTTCTAGTTCCAGATGAATTTTAGGAATGTCTCTAGTTCTGTGAGGTATGCTAATGGTATTTTAATTGGGATTGCAGTGAATCTGTGTAACAATTTTGGGAGTAAGGCCACTTTCACAATGTTGGCTCTTCCTATGCATGAGCAAGGAGTATCTTCTCATTTTCTGAAATTCTCTTCATTCTTTTTCAGAGTACTGTAATTTTCACTGTAGAGATCTTTTACTTCCTTTGTTAGATTGATTCTTAACTTTTTCATTTTTTTGGATGTTATTTTGATGGGTGTGGTGTACCTAATTTCTCTTTGAGGGAGTTTGTTGCTTGTGTAAGAAACGCTATTGATTTTTATGTGTTGACTTTGGCTTTTATCAGATTGAAGTAAAGACCAACTATTCTGATTTTCAGTAGGGTTTATATCATGAATGAGTGTTGGACTTTGTCAAAATCTTTTTTTTTTCATATATTGAGATATTCATGTGATTTTTGTCTTTGACTCTGTTGATATAGTGTATTACATTTATTGATCTACATATATTAAACCATCCCTGCATTCCTATGATGAATCCCTTTTGGTCATGGTATATAATCTTCTTGATGATTTGATGCATTCTGTTTGCTAGTATTTTATTTAGAATTTTTGCATCTATGTTCATTAGGGAGATTGGCCTGTAGTTCTCTCTTTTGGTTGGGTCTTTCTGTGGTTTTGGTATCAGGGTAATACTTGCCTCCTTGTCAATTACATTAAAGAATTTGAGAAGAATTGGCATTAAATCTTCCCTAAATTTCTTGTACAGTTCAGCTGTG